AATTTCAGGGTATATCTTAGGGGTCACTCCTGGAAAACGGAACGCCTGGTGCAAATCTTGGCAACCACCCCTCCTAAGGGGGTGAAAGGGGGTAACAAAGAAATAGGAGTTTTTCCAAAAAGTAGGAAAACAGTATTTATTTTATGGTCTCCTACAAGGGGTAACTCGTAAAAGTAGATCCTTGTTGACGAAAATTTTGTCCGTAAGACTCTATTTTGCACCGTTAGGGCGCTGGAGTGTTTTTTTTCGACGAAAATACGGCAAAAATGACCACGTTGCACCTACCCTAAAATATCAGAGGACACATTCTGCATCAGGAACTACCCTTGAAATTACCGCATCTTTCACTGTTTTGGCCCTACAGGTGGATTAATTAAAAACAATGGCAAAAAGTCAAGTTTTAAGACTGTTTGACAAACAAAGATGCAAAGTGGTTTACCGGTCACATAACTCATCTGATTATGCATTTCAGGAGATCGCGAGACTGAAATGGTCGGGCCGAAGGCCGACCATCGCCGCCGGCAGGCCAAGCAGGCCCGGTCCCTGCCGAACGGAGTTGCCGGCGCAGCGAAGTGGAGCTGGCATCTCCGTTTGGCGGAAGGGCGGGCCTACTTGTTAAGGCAAGGTTTTACTTACTTCAATAATCGTAGGAAGAACCTTGTTAATGACCAGGTTCAGAGCTTTTCCGAGCTTTCCTAACTTGTCCAAATTTTCGAACGTGACCTGGAAAAGAAAGCTTGTATTTATTACCTACATTCTGTTGGTACAAATGTAAACCCACGCCTGCGCTCCTCTGGACCACCCATTGTTGTTGGCAACCGCGCCGCCCGTCCGGCTGTGTGCCTCACCGGTACGCAGCCTCGACCTAGACGGTGCTCAGCGAGGGGGAAACGACTAAGGTAATCCGGCTGACAGCCGAAAGGTAATCCGGTAGGGGTAATCCGAGGAAATTCAAAAAAATCCGTGGTAATCCGGGGAAATTTGGGGGTAATCCGGGAAAATTTTAGAGAAAAAGCAACGTAATCCGGAGGACACTCCGGAGGTAATCCGGGTAATCCGTAATCCGGCTGACACAAAGTTTAACAGTCGTTTCCCCCTCGGTGCTCAGCCTTCTTTCGGGGAAGGACCACGCCAAGCCAAAGGCTATTTTGGGGAAGTGTGAAAACTGTGATCTAAGCAGTGGTAGAGAAAGAGAGCCTGATTGGCTGAGCGATTAGCGAAGCCTATTACTCCAGTGATGATGAAAAAGTTTCGCGTGTGTCTGTCTGTCTGTACGCACGGTAACTCGAGAACGAATTGAGCTAGCGACCTGGGATTTTCTGGGTCGTTTTGTACCATAAAAAGACAGATCGAGTTCGAAGAAGAGCATTCTAGCTCAAAAATTTGATTTTTACAAAAAATCAAAAACCACAGGTCCTACAAATAATCTTTTTTAAAAATGGTTTTTTACAGTTTCTTTGGGGATAACTCATTAAAGTAGAGCCCTCCTGACGAAAATTTCGTCCGTTTGGCTCTCTCTTAAACCATTTAGACGCCACAGGGAGTTTTTGACGAAAACAAGCGAAAAAATGTACAACCCTGCATGCTAAGCCGAAGTGACGGGAAGTTGACGGGCCTTGACGGGCCTTGCGTTACCCGGCTCGGGTGTCAGTGCCGCAGGCCTAGGTAGATGTGTGCCAAGCGCGTCGCAGCGCAACAGTGTTCCGTGAGATATCGCGAAGCCTGTTACGCGAGACGTGGTCTGGCGTACATCTCCCTAGTATTTTGAATAAGCAAAGCTTTTGATTCAGGAGCAATGCTAAAAAAAAACACATTTATAACCTCTAACTGATAGGTGCAAATAGTTACTGTCATATATTAAAATTGTTCCTGATTATACTCCAAATGCCCTTTCCAATATTATACAAGAGTGACTCGAAGCCGATGAGTCACTTTGCTATACTATTACAAAATATCGTCGCAAACTTCCAAAAATTTTGTAAACTCGAATCATTGGCTGAGCGATAAGCGAAGCTCATTACTCCATTGACGGAAAAAGTCTTACTCTATTTGTGTGTTTGTTTGTGTTTTGGCGTGTGTGTTTGTATGTCTGTACGATAACTCGACGATAACCCGACGCAAACCAGACCCAAAGAAGATCAAGAGTTCTTCCTGAACTCTTTGCTCCCTTGCTCTGATTGGCTGACTCCGACGATGTTCATGAACTGGCCGCAAGGGCCGTCGACCCCTAGTGTCGGCTCCGAGAACTTCGTCCACTGTTCAAAAAACTGATGTAAATTAACAACGAAAGAGTAGTTAAGTTTGTTAGCAACACATGTTGTTTTTTAACAACGCATGTTGTTTTTTAAAAACACATATTGTTTATTAACAACACATGTTGGCAGCAGCGCCGCCGCTCAGGCCTCATTCGTCCTCGAGTTATCGTGCGGCCAGACACACACACACAGAGACACATAGTTGACAGACAGAAAAAGTTTTTTCCGACCAGACGGAGTAATAGGCTTCGCTAATCGCTCAGCCAACTAGCTATATGAACGCCA